AAGATGTTTAGTCTGGTAAAAATCTCATTTGTCTATTTTTGTTTTCTTTTGTGCTTCTTGGGTAGGATCTAGAAAACCCCTGCCCGTTGTGATTCTTTGTATTGTTTTGTCTATGTTTTCTTCTACAAATTGCAATGATTTGGGTCTTACATTTACATGTTTCATTGAGCTTGAGTTTATTTTTATAGGTGGTGAGAGATAGGAGTCAAATAAATTATTTTGCATGCTAATATCATATTTTCCCAGGAGCGTGTACCAAAAAGACTATGCACTGGTTTTGAAAACTTCCAGGGTCTTTTTTTTCTGATGCACTGTTATATGGATCTGTTCTTATATCATACCACATTGTTTCTATTATTGTAATTTTATAGTGTATTCTAAGATGATATTGTGTAATGCCTCCTACTCTGTTCTTTTGCTCAAAATTGCATTGATTATTTGGGGGTCTTTTGTGGGTCCATAAAATTTTAATAATGTTTTTCTTTGTTCTGTGGAAAATATTACTAGAATTTTAATAGTGATTACTCTGAATCTGAAATCACTCATAGGTGGATGCTGTAGCCTAGCTCAGCCAGGCATGCTCCCCAGGCCCAGCTTTTGTGTGTGCCAGTGGATGGCAAGCAATGCTATTTAACACAGTCAAGGTTTTCCACACAGGTGGATGCCTTGGCCTAATCCAGACATGCCCACTGGTTTCCCTCATCTAACCAACTCAGTCTCAGCTCCCTTGCCTACCTGCAAGTACAGTGGCCCAGTCTATGAAAAACCCCAGAAATCATTCCTCTCCTGTCGAACATGCCCTCATCCACTTCCACTTCAATTTGTCCCTAGACCCTCTTCCCCGGGCAATCTATAGCACCCCTCCCCTTCAACCTAGGTGCCATGTAGGCAGGTCCTGGTCCGGAGTTCCCCACCTTCCCCACTATGCTGGCACACTGGTATAGTTAGGACAAACTTGGCATTAATTAGGCCCAAAATACCTGCCAGCTACTGGCTGCTTTTATCTCAGCAGTGCAACATTTGCCTAGGTTACAAGGCAATCTAGGTAGTTGCCTGCAGTTGGTGTCTCTCTCTCATGTGTGTGTGTGTATGAATGAGAGAGATAGAGAGAGAGAGGAGAGAGAGGGAAAAAGCACTTCCATCTGCTGGTTTACTCTTTAAACAGTTATAATAACCAGAACTGGGTCAGGCTAAACCCAGAAGCTAGGAACTCCAGTCTGATCTCCCAAATGGTCAACAGGGGCCTGATTGCTTGGGTCATCTTCTGTTGCCTCCAGAGGCTCACCAGCAGAAGTTCTATCAGAAAAAGAGCTATCAGTACTCACTCCAGCACTCTAATATGCCTGCAAATGCTAAGCTGCACTGGCCCTGACACTGCTCTCTTGATTTCCAGATGACTCACTATTGATTTATAACAATGTGATTGAATTTTGTACATTGACTTTGCACTCTTCAACTTTGCTGAAATTGTGTATTAATTCTAAGAACTTTTTGAAGGACTACTTGAAATATCCTACATATAAGACGATCTCATCTGCAAACACTGACAATCAACTTCCTCCTTTCTGATTTGGTGTCTGTCTGTCCTTCCTTCCTCTTTCTTTCACTTAACTGCTGGGCTAGGACTTAATGTTGAATAACAGCAGAAAAAAGTGGACATCCTTGTCTTGTCCAGGTCTTAAAGAGCAAACCTTCAACTTTCTCCATTCAACATGATGCTAGCTATTAGCTTATTGCAAAAATTTCCTGTGTTGTGTTGAGGTATATTCCCTCTCTTTGTGATTTATTCAGAATATTTAATCATGAAGCAATGTTGGATTTATCAAATGTCTTTTCTTTTTCATTTTGGGGGATGATCATATGATTCTTGTGTTTTATTTGGCTGATGTGATATACCAAATTCATTGATTTGTATAGGTTGGATTACTCTTCTGTCTCTGGGATGAATCCCATCTAACCATGATGAACCATCCTTTTAATGGGTTATTAGAGTCAATTTGCAAGTGTTGTTGCTAAGGACTTTTGTACCTATGTTCATCAATGATATTGGCCTATAGTTTCCTTTTTTCATTATATCTATGACTTTGGTATCATGGTAATGTTGAACTTCTAGAATGAATTTAGAATAGCTGCCTCCTTTTCTATTTTTTGAAATAGTTTAAGAAGGATTGGTGTTATTTAAATCACTGCCACCACCACTCACTGGTTCACACTGGGATCACCACAGATGAGGTTTCTTTGGGGATCTCCCCAACTGAACTACTAGACTCAGGACTGCAACCATGGGAAGAATCACAGGATCTCTGGATTGACCTTGGAGTGCATATGTCAGAACTGGGCCTCCTCAGTGGCTAAAATATAGCAGTGGATGGCATGCCCAGATGTACGATATGGCAGTCCACTGGAGCCTGCAGAGGACATCTGGTAACATAGCAGAGGAAGGAGGGCAGAACAAATTGGTCAACTACCCCAGCCAAGTGTTGACAGCAAATATGAGTGAATGGAGACTCTAAGGTAGACCATGTCAGCCAATGGACCTTGGAAGGATTTCCTCAACCTTGGATCAATGAAATCAAGAATATCTTGGAACTATCAAAACCACTTTAACAGAACCCTTGGAGCATCAGGGACCTTGGGATGACATGAGGTGACCATTCGTTGCCCATCCAGGGTACTGAGGCAGTTCGGAGGCTGAGTGCAGCTTCTCCTCTTATCTCTCCCCTTCCCCCAGATACAGAAGAAACAAAAAGAAAATTTGGAAACAATGGTTAAACCCACTTTCCTCTAATCCTTGACCTTTCCCACCCCAATCAGCTATGTAACATCATCAAAAATCAAATTTAAAAAAAGCCAGAAGCGGATGTTTCAAGATGCTGCCTCCACACATTGTAGTTAGTACTGCGCCCCCCCAAAAGTAAAATTCAGCAATGAGACCATTTTGTCCCAGAATTTGATGGGAGATTTTTAAAAAATACTGAACCAATCCTGCTGATCCTTATCTGTCTGTGTAGTCCAGCCTTGATCTGTTTACGTAACATTTACAAACTTGTTGCTTTAGATCACAATGCAGGATTTCATCGTTCCCCACCAATCTATTCTGAGCTTTCTTATTTAAGCTCCTGTGATACAAGAGAATATAAACCCTACTGTAAGTTTCATCTTTGTTGCAACTGTAATACACATTGGTGTATTTGTGACCCCTTTTCTCTAAACAAAGAAGTACCACAAACATCTAGATCTAAAGTTCAGGTAAATACACTTGACCTACAGCCATGATCTCCTCTGGTGAGATACATCGCTTCTCACCTGCAATCCAAGATTCGTCTATAGTTTTCTCCTTTATCTAATAAAAGCAACAGAAAAGGCAAAGCTGGTATGTTTCAAAATTTAAATTTTGTCTAAAATTTTCATTTTTTTCTAGATTTAGGAACTGATAAATGACTCATGTTGTAGCTGATATTTACAATACCCACCAGACAGAAAACATCTGAGGATGTTATCATCCTGTAAAATGTTCCTAATGCATGGGGGCAAAGAGGTGTGGACTCACTTGAAGACTTGTGAATGCATTTTTAAGAATGATGCTAGAGTTACTTAGTTTGAACTATTGAAACTCCCAGTGACTGATCACATCTTCCTTTGCTTCCCAGCGGGCCCTCCTGGCCAACTCCTGAGGCTTTAGCTGGCTTTTCCTTAACCTGCTTTTTCTTAAGTTTACCGCTTCTTTCTTCACTGTTCGGCAGTCCTCTCAGGACTTGGCTGAACCTGCATTTCCCTGGTTTCCTTGTCCTGGCAGTTTATATAAAGGTGAAGATCACAGGCTGTTTCCTTTCATGATCCCTGCTATTCAGAAGGCTGAGCTGAAAGAGAAGTTCTTGTACACCTTAGGATGGCAGGCTGGTCCTCTGCAGTTTAATAAGATGGTACTCTTACAAGAGAATGACCCACTGGTCAACTGATTATGCAGCCTGCAGGTCATGGGAAAGAACCCCTTAACTTTCTGGAATTAATCCTTTGGTGTTTCTATGGCAGCAAACTTGTTTCCATTTGCCTGCTCCATTTTTGCTTTAGGTGCCTGTGCAATTTCATTTCTCCACCTTTAAGCCTTCATTGTCTGGTTCAGTGAAATCTTCATGATGAATTCCTAGATGTCTTTCCTTATCTACCAGCTCTTCTGTAAGGACACCTCTGACTTGTCTTGGTTTTCCCCCTCTTTGGCATTACTTTCCTGGTTCCACATAGGCACTATGGCATTCCTCATGCCTTCTATTCCTTCTTAGCCTGCAGGAAACCAGACTGTCACTTCCACAGCCACATCAAGCGTGTCTTCCACGCTGCTGAGGTTCATGCCTCAAGTGGCCATGCCCTAGAGGGCCCATGCAGAAGCCGAGCAGAAACTGAGGTGCCTGCAGCTGTGACTCTGGTGCTGGCTCAGATGGAAGGTTGAGACCATCATGGGAAAAATAAGTTCCCTGGTTCCTCCTTGGAGGATCTCCATACTGGACTTTGTGGTAGTTACTGTTTTAAAGCCATTTCATTTTCCAGTGAGAAGAAGTTGTAAATGCAGGATCTGGGTGGTCGAGTATGCAGGCTTCTCATGGATTTCATTGTTTTTATCCTCATACCTCCATCCCGTCCTGTTTTAGTGTCCTGAGACCCATACTTCTTGATTTTTTGCAGGACCAAAACTTCAGTCTTCAGAATGGGGACATCTGCAGTCTCCCCTCCGATGCCTTCTGTCACGTCTGCTTCACACCCACTCAGGCTCAGGGTCGCGTGTCTCTCCAGAGCTGTGGGGTGCTGAACTTATTGCTCAGAACTCATTCATCTTCCCAAGTGGTTTCCTCTGCCCTTCTCTGTCGGTCTACTTAAACCCACAATTTTCTTACTTGTTTATATTCCCTTCTCACTCTTTCTGTTTTTGTGGACTGCTATCTTTTTTTAAAAAGCGCCTTTATCTTTCTTTATTGGCCTGTAGGAAGAAAGAGAAGACAATTACATTGATCTGCCATCTTTGCCTGTTTTCCATCGTGGTTTGTAAGGTCTTGAACCTGTGGACTTGGGCAGACGTGAGGAAGGTTAGATCCAGGATAGGCAAAGGGAGTCTTGAGCTTTAAAGTCAACTTTATTTCCCTGGACCATGAACATGTGGGCGCTCAGCACAGGGACTGACTTCACTGCAGCAATGCTATTTATGGCGATCATCTTCCCCCAAACTCCACATTTTAGCCTTGTACAAGGTGATGTCATTGTAGACCCTGAAGTGGTTCAGCCTGTGGTCGTCACGTTCAGGATTGACCTAGGGAAGAGAACATAGGATCAGAAAACTCCTGTGGGAATGTTGGATGACGTGGCTGCAGTGGGATGGGCCTGGGTGGCTTTCAGGTCCTATTCTTCTGATGCAGGTGCTGTTGCTTGCTGATCCCTGACAGATTTTCACTATTAACTAAACCCCATTCAAGCTTTGCTGAAACTCTTTGCCTGCCTGTTGGTCTTCCCTGTTTATCTCTGCATTATCCAGTTGTTACAACACTACTAAATCAGTTTAAGTAAACGCTCCTGCCTATCGATCGGGCTTCTCATATTTCACAACTGACTGGATGATGTCTGATGATCCTGGCCTGTACTCAGCTAACCAGAGTCCTCCCTTATCCCGGAAGTTTCCTCTTGCTGATTCTGGATCCACTGAGCCTGCTCCTTCTCCATCTTACTAACTGGTAGTATATTCACACTTGTCCATACCCTATCTGGAGTTAAGCCCAATCTCTCTCCCTCACTGCAAAATCCTACAGGGTCCTTATATCTTTAGTAACAGTTTCTCCCTGACGTAGTCCTCCTCCTGATATTCAACAGTAATTTCATAATTGACTCATTTTTTCATTCAATATTTTTCATTGAATACTTTTTCATTAACATCCATCCCTTATATGAGGTGTTACGTCCTGTCTCTTTTCTTTTTTGGAGCTGCTCTCTCCTCTCCAACTATGCCTTTCCCTTATGACTTAGTCCTTCCTGTGGAAGCTGTCTGGTTTCTAACTAAAATCCCCTTCCTGTCTTCCATAGTGTCCTCTCAACAAAGCGATGCTCCTACGTTAAAAGAAGCTATTACAAATGACAAGTATGTTTTCTTCCTTGCTGGAAAAACGCTTGATTTATTAAGCCATTCATTGAACTTAGCCACACGGTAGATGAGAAGTTCAGGCTCTTGCAGCAGGAATGAGAAAACTATAAGGTGTAAGTATATCCTGGAGAGAGGTGCAACACGACAGAAGGTGACTCACTGAATCTAGACAAGTAGGGTTAATGGAAAGAAAACAGCAGCAAAAAACATCTAAGTGGTCAGGCTCTGTAACCTCCTTTTTATTATTTTTCATCAACATAATAGCAGCTAGCCTTCATAAACCACTTACTGGGTGCTGTCTGAGGCAGTTTCCCCATATAGTTTCCTTTAATCCTTACAACACACCTTTGAAGTTAGATGCTGTTATGATCCCCATGTGAAGATGATCAGTGGAGGTGGAGAGAGGTGAAGATCACACAGCTAGAAAATGATGGAACCAGGGTGTGATCTCAGGTCATCTGGCTTCAGAGCCATCATATCACAGATACTCTCATGGAGAATCCAGTGCTGCACCAGCAGGGAGCACATGATGCTAAAGCAGGGAGGAAGGCACAGCTGGAGGGTGCTGGGATGGGAGCAATCACTTAACCAGACTCGGAGGGCCAATCCCAAGCCAGGAGCCTGGAGCTTCTTCTGTCTCCCACACAGGTGCAGGGTCCCAATGTTTTGGGTTGTCCTCACTGCCTTCCCAGGCCACAAGCAGAGAGGGAATCAGGGCTGCCAGGACACAAACCGGTGCCCATATGGGATCCTGGTGCGTGCAAGGTGAGGACCTTGGCCACTAGATTACTGCACTGGGCCCATGATGTGATTCTAAGTGCTATTTCATTTGAGTCAGTGCTATTTCATCAGTGCTATTTCATTTGAGTCTCAGAACTACCTTCTGAGATAAGCAGTGCAATGCCTCCATTTTATAAAGGAACTCTTCCCTAGGTCCTATAGCATGTTCCCCTCAGTCACAATTCAAACCCTAGCCAGACTGGTTAGATATTCTATTCTGTTAGTGACCACACGTATTGCTACTGTGCTCCCAATGTTTACTAGGTCAAAGAGCCACACTTACCAAGGGCTCGGAGTCCCATCCAATCTCTTGAGCTTCAGTCTGGGTCTCTGAGTATTTCTTTCTCGGTCCTTGGTGTGCATGGTGAATGAGATTAAGAAATCTGGCTGGGAAGACAGGAGTGAGAAAGGAGTCAGGCTTTGCAACAATGTGAGTCCCTGTATCCTTTACTCTGGCCACACTGTTGCTTGAAGCAGAGCATCCTAGGCTCAGAGATTCCTCTAGTCCTCAAGACAGGAATGTCTGGTCCTTTCACTGAATTCTTAATAAAAATTCTTAATTCTTAATTCAAATTTGCATGTTGAGCAAAACAATAGTGCTGGCAGTCCTGGGCCCTGGGATTAGAGAGACACCCATGTTCTCTGCTTTCCTGGAGCTTATGATCTACATGAGGGAATGGGGAACACAATATTCAGACCTCACAGGGCAGACAGTGACACACCCTGTGAGGCAAGAAGTAAGCTGAATGGCATGTGAATCTACAGAGAGGAAAGTAACTGTCCAGGGACTGGAGAGAGGAAAGGTCCAGCCGCAGACAGCAGGAGCAAAGGCCCAGGGCCACAGGCATGCTTTGCTGTTGTACCATAAGAGCGTGAAGGAATATTGCAGGAGGTGTGGTTAGTCTTTCTGCAGCAAAGTAAGTGTGGCTCCTGGGGTTGGGTAGCTCTTCTTTCCTATATCAAGTCCCATTTGAGAGAGAGAGTGTGACAATGGAATAAGCCTGGAGTTTGTAATCAGATACTGCTGGCCCTGCCACTTCTTACTTCTTAGGTGGCTTAACTCGACTGGCTCTTATTTATTCATCTGCAAAATTGGAGAAAAATGTGATGTTCACCAAGATAACTGAAGATGGAGTAAGAAGTGTGAGTCAAGAACTTGACATTTTGTCCTTGATAGAATTCAGATAGCAATGAACTTCCTGGCTCTCAACATACACATTATCTGCTATTTCCATTACTGCTTACAAGCCTGAGACTTTGATTCTCACTGCAGCTAGGATGGTACCCTGGAGATAACACCTGACTTTCTTCACCCACCCTCTACTGGTTCGTTTATTTCTGTCTCCTTCTTGATGCATCCACTTTACACTGTCTCATGTCATTTAAACCTTGCGATTTTCCACCATACGTGTCTACTAGAGGAAGGTGGAGGATTTCCCAGGAAGCATTAGAGTTTCCATCAGATAATCTCCTCTCCTATTTGTAAATACAGTCTCCTTCCCATATGTCTGGTGTGGTTATCTCAAATTAGTCACAGTTCTTTCATCCTAATGGTATTTCTCATTTCTGTGCTTTACCGGGTAACTCAGATGACATGCTGTACTTCATGCTACCATCACCTTCTCCAGAAAGACTTCCAAAACTTCCTAAATCCTCTGGTTTAGGCACCTGCTGTCTACTATCTATGTTGTCGCTACATTAATCCTGTTCCCTATTTACCTGTCTACTTGCAAGGGCACTTTATTGTCTTTTCTTCATTAAGCTTTGTAATTGTGCTATCATAGTAATGTAATAAGCATATTGTAACAGTAAAGATAATATTTATTGATATACCAGATCTTGTATTTGCATTATTTTATTACTCATTATGCAATAGTTTGAAAACTTAAAAAAAAAAAACTACCGAAATCACAAGTTTAAATTAGTGGCAGAATGAGGATTTAAACTTCGTATCACTCTAGAACCAGTTTCTATAACATCAGACACCCGTCTGATGAAGCCTGGTAAGTAAGTCTGGTCATGGCTGCTATTTAAGGGCCTGGAAGGTTGTTCATCATGAGTTCCCTTTGGGAATCCAAGTAGGGATCGCTGATGCTTTCTCCAAGTAAACAGCCTAAAGGGGTGGTCCTGCTCCTCTCTGCTCCAGTTCTACGGGAGTCTCAGGACTTACCATCTGCAGGTTCCTCCAGGTTATCATGCCAAGACATAGGCTTTCTTGCTATGGTGTGGACTGGAGAGAAAGAACATCACAGATCATGTTAAAATGCTCCTCTCTAAAGTCCACTTGAGGCTAGAAACCCACTTAACTCTTCCTTAATAGCTGGAACATACCATGTCCTGGTGTGACATGGTCCAGTATGCTGTCTGCAGGATATTGTTGGAACATCCCACGGTTAAACATAGTTGGACATTAATTTGTTTCCCTGAAATTATCAGTTGGAGAATGCAAGGAAAACCAGGTTAGTCATAAATAAAATGCAGATATCCCATTTTCTCTGTGTAGCCAGGATGTAACGGGATATAGTTAATGAGGCACAGAAGTTTGGGGAGAAATCCTGTAAGAATTAGCTATGCCGTACAGGTAAGGCAGAGGACAATGGCATGATGCGTTTAGGAAAGCCACCTTTTGAGAAATGGCAGGAGAGAAAGGAGATGATAAACAGTAGGCACAAAGCATTTCCTAAAGCACTGTCAGAGTTGGGAGGGGAGTATGGGACGAAGCTGATAGGCATTACAGTCAGACCCAAAGGGACTTACACTGTCTTCTGATCGATTCAAATCTTGGCTCAGAAACATGGTGTTCACAGAGGGACTGACGTGATCACATCGGCCTCTGCAACTACCCCTAGCTAGAAGTGGTGGGTTGGAAAGAGCCTTAGATAGAAGGGTGATTGGGAGCCCCTGCACCAATCCAGACAGGAGAGACTAGGGGCTGCTGAGGCTTCAGGACCGAGGGTGAATTTAGCAGCAGACGCAGGCGCTATTCAAGGTAGAGTTGGGTATAGGTGGATGTGCATTCCCAGGGATAATGGTGTCTTTTGCTGAGCTAGGAGAACTGCAAAAGAACTGGGGAGAGGAATGAGGAGGGATACACAGAATCTGAGATTTCCTCCGGTGTGTGGAAGGGCAGGGAGGGAGAGGTGTTGAGGGCCACTCTTGCACTCCAACTTGGGAGAATGAATATTGTGGTGTCTTTTGCTAAGTAGGGTGCCCCAGGGGATCAAGGGTGGAGAAGAGGGGGGCAGAATGAACCCCACCCTCCAACTGGTGAGTGTGGGACCCTTCTGATATGCGCAGAAGTGTGTAGACATGTGGCTGTGGAGCTCCACAGAGGCCTGGTGGCACTGCTGGGGCTCTGCTGTTTCATGAAACCACACTAGAAGCATGCAGCTAAGAAGGGTGGGGTGGGTTTCTTGGACCAGGAATCCAACACGCCCCACCTGCCAGCGCCAAACACATCCTGAAAGGATATGGGAAGAAGCCAGTTTTGTGATTAAGAAGACAGCAAATAGATGCAGAAACAGAACATAAATATGGCAAAATGTAATTATTTCAAATCCAAAATTGTAAAAATGCATTCAATACCATTTTGTGACACTGAGCTTTGATATTTAATGCGAAGTTGCCATTGTAAAAAATCTACATTGTATGTGATGTGGGGCAAGGCCCCTCAATGTCATGGATCCCTAAGCTGTGGAAGGGGACAGGGACCACAGGACGCGTCCTCGCTTTGCCTATGACCCATGCGCTTACGACCGCGGCCCCAGGCTCCTCTGTACCTCCCCAGGGTGACTCTGGCCCTGTAACGTTCTCACCCTTGCGCAGGGGATTCACGTGATACTGAGTGTAGAGTTTCTGAGTCCGTAGCTCTTTGAGGTACAGTTCCCGGAAGATCTGGTTCTGGTGGACCTCATCTGGAATCACCTTCTCCCTCTGGTGTCCCGCCATGGCTTTCACAGACTCCGGGGAGGCTGCAGCCGCCTAAGACCTCCCGTCGTCTCCAGGCAACAGCGTCCTGCGCTGTCTCCAGGCAACAGGGCGTTGAGGGGGACAGACTGTCCTGGGCGCATCTTACTGTGGCTCCGCCCATCCCCTGGTTCCGCGCTTTCCCTGCACTCCCACCTCTGGGGATCCGATTTCAGGTACCACCCTTTTCCCGTGATGGCCTCTCCCTGCCCAGTGTGGGAGCTGTCCCTGCATACCTCTAGGAAAACCTTCACAACGTGGCAGACCCCCCAGGCCAGGCCTGATGACAGGACCTCATCTGGACCAACCACCATCTAAAAAGGCGTTGGAAGCATTCAGAAGCCTTTTCCACATTGTAGGTAAATGTAAGAATAATAAAATGCTATGATAGTATATTAAAATGCTTGAATGGAATGGAATGTTTTTGTTGGGCAGTGTGAGATTCCTTTGTGCTGAAAAAAACTGCTACTTTGCCAGGCCAGGAGGCTCCTGGACTTTGGGAGGATTCCGCTTTAGCGATAAATCTGTTCTTTGCTGTCTTGCAACTTTGTGAACCCAGGTGCAGGGGGCAAGGGCACAATTCTTCTCCGGTCCCAGGAACAGGAGGAAGATAAGGGTGTGAGAATGGGATGAGCCATACAGATAATGGGTATGGGAACAGAACAGACTGCCTGTGCCTGAAGGACATTAAAATGAACATGTCTAAGGTTGTTACTTTTGATGTATTTTCCAGCCCAAAAGGGCCTATATAATCTTCTGTTTTGGGCTTGTTTGGGGTCCTACTGACCCTCTTGGTTGGCCTGTGTGCCCCAAGTGTGGTCTGACCCCAGTATGCTGCTGGAATAAACTCTGTTTGCTGTTTGCATTACCAGAGAGACTCTTTGTTGTTCTCTGGGGGTTGGCTATCTCACACCCTGATATCCGGGTCTTTAGCTTGGAACCTAACAACATTTGGAGCCCCCAGCGAGATCTTCGACCCCCTTTTAGAGCAACCAGTCAACTAATATCAGAATTAAAAATTCCTCAGAAGCTCAAATTAAACTCCCCCAAAACCAAAAAACTCCAGAGAAGCGAATAAGACCTCAAACACCACAACAAAACTTAATCACCCCAAAGGAGAGCAAAAAAGCTCCAAATACCACGACAAAACTTAATCACCCCAAAAAGGAGCATGAAAGCTGCAGAGACCACAAGACCTAATCACCCCAAACCCAACAGGTGGGCACATGGAAACGACCAGTAGCTTATCTATCAATGAGACTTGATCATGTAGCTGCTGGCTGGCCACCATACTTGCTATTGCACTCATGGTGCGGGACACAGACAAACTAACTTTGGGCCAGAACTTGAAGATTGTAGCTCCTGATGCTGTAGAGGGGAGTCCTGAGATAACCCTCTGGTAGGTGGATGAGCAATGCAAGGCTCAGTCACTGTCAGGGGCTATTACTAGATTCTCCCAGAATGGTGTCCCTCGAACCATCCATCTTGAACCCTGCCACCTTGCTGCCTAACCTGGATTTGAAGACTCCCCTCCCCCATGACTGCGGTGAGATTCTGTCAGAAGTCGCTCAAGCTCCTCACATCTCTTGGACATGCCCTCGCCAAACAGTGAGTTGACCTGGTTCATGGACGGTAGTAACTTTGTGAAGAATGAAGTTGGAAGGGCAGGGGCAGCGGTGGCTGACCACCACGGGGAAGTAGTCTGGAACTGTGTCCTTCCCCCGGGGACCTCAGCGCAAAAGGCAGAGCTGATTGCCCTGTTCGAGGCTCTCAAGGAGCTGAAGGGAGGCATGTGACTGTTTACAGACAGCTACTGTGCATGTTCACGGCGCCATCTACCGGGAGCGAGGCTTCATGACAGCAGAGGGGAGGGAGCTGCGAAACCTGGCAGAAGTACAACCCGGCTTGCAGCCGTGGAGAAACCCAGGGCGGCTGCCGTAGTGCATATTCCCAGAACCCGGTGTGTAAACACTGCCCAGGCGGTGGGGAACCGCCGTGCGGATGAAGAAGCAAAAAGGGTAGCCACGACTGTTGGAAACTCCGGAAGCAAGGAGGAGCAAGCTGTCCGGATAGCAACAATAGACTCGCCAATAGCAGAGCGCCTCACTCTGCAATCCCAGCCAAGCTATATCTCAGAAGATTTGGAGTGGATCTAATGCCAACACCTTCAGGAGACCAAGTCGGACAATTTGTATAGGGACTCGAAGGGAACACTGTTTTTGCCTGCAGAACTGGGGAAATTTTCATCACCAACTTCCATGAAACCACCTACCTGGGTGGTTCACTGCTGGATCTATTTGACACTGCCTCACTCCGGTTCCCACATCAGAACTCTGAGGCCAGATTGATAGAAGCGCGGTGTGCGGGATGCCAGGCGATGAAACCTAGCAAGAGGGGATTCCCACACACAGGTACTCGGGTTTGGGGGTGGGCACCGGGATGTAATTGGGAAATAGACTTTACAGAGGTAAGGCCGGGAAAGTTTAGATACTGGTATCTTCTTTTTGTAGACTCATTTTCAGGGTGGGTAGAAACATCCCCTACTAAGAAGGAAACCAGTCAGGTGGTGGCTAAAGTTTTGCTTGAGGAAATTATATCTCGATATGGGGTTCCAGTTATGCTAGGATAGGACAAGGGCCCGGCTTTCATTAATGAAGTCCTACAAGGGCTGGCCCGAGCCATGGGAACAGATTGGAAGCTGCACTGTGAATACAACCCACAGAGCTCAGGGCGAGTAGAGAGGATGAACAGAACCATTAAGGAGACCTTATCTGAATTAGCCTTCAAGACTGGCGGAGACTGAGTGATCCTCCTTCCCTTCGCCATCTTCTGAGCTCGGAATTCTGTTTATGTGCATGGATTGCCCCCATTCGAAATTATGCATGGGGCTCTGTCCCCTATTGTCCAATGAGCTCTCTCTATGGACAAGACCAAGGCGGCTCCAAATTACTTGGCCAGCATGCAGGCATTGCTTACAGTGCAGCAAGAGATTTGGCCTCTGCTGCAAGCTTATTACAAAAAGAATGAATATCCAAGCCTGGAGCATGGCATTGTCCCGTGGAACTGGGCCTGAGTACAATGTCATCGAGCCAAAACTCTTCGAGCCACGTTGGAAAGGCCCTTACGTTGTGCTTTTCACTACCCCATCCGCCCTAAAGGTCGACGGAGTTGAATCATGGGTGCATCACATACATGTCCGAAAGGCCGCTGCCCCGTCCCCCGAGCTGGAGACCGGCACCTGGTGGGAAGCACAATGGCATCCCAGCAACCCGCTAAGACTCAAGCTGGTGAAAAGCTCCGAGGCAAGCACCCCGTCTACGCATCCCTTGGACTCATCTTCGTAGTCCTTGCAGCCTTAGTCGGAGAGACCACCGCTGACAATCCTCATCAGCCTTACAACATCACCTGGAAACTGAGAGACGGCCACACTCATGAGGTTCTCGCCTGGACGTCAGCCTTACAGCCTCTCAGCTCGTGGTGGCCGGATTTACACTTCAGCTTGAGAGACTTGACCATAAAGAACTGGTCCTCGAGCAGTGTACGTGTGGCAGGTTTCTATGCTTGCCCTGAATCCACTAGAAAGACTTACAGTGCATGTGGGGTGTGGATGACTGTTACTGTAGGAGTTGGGGCTGTGTAACTTCTAACGATGGGCCCCGGAAGTGGGCCGTTGCTAAATCGCATTTAATCCAGCTCTCTTGTTCACCCATTGACATGGGTAATGTGGCGTTCACCTCCTCGGGTTAAGAATTCTTGTGGCAAGTCCCCGTGTGACTTAGTCAAAGTTAAATTCACTGAGTTAGGGAAGAGAGATAGGAGGTGGATATCCGGGTTGACCTGGGGTGTCGTGTTGTATCACGCATACACCCGCAATCCCAGTGGAATCCTCCTTGTGTTTCAGACGATGGAGCCCGTGACCCCCCTTTCTTCTTGTAGCAGCCCCCCTTACACCCTCCCTCCTTCCAACACTCCCACTACGGGAGAGGAACAAACTGAAGCCCCCCTCTCCCGATCTGGGGTCAAGAAAAGAACGAGCCTCTGTGGAAGCTGCTCTGTGCGCTGTATGACACCCTAAACGTTACTAGTCCTGACCTCACCCAAGAGTGTTGCTTATGTTACAGTGTCTACCCCCCGTTTTATGAGGTTATTGGTGTCAACTCTACCTGGAGCTACTCAGCAGTAGCCCCAACTAACTGGGCTGCCAAGAACCCCCCTCTGACTATGACCCAAGTTAGTGGATGGGGGTCCTGCATTGGCACTGTGCCTAAAGACAAGCACAGACTTTGCTCATCGGTAACAAGGCTTGTTGGTTCAGTTAAGACTGGTTGGTTATCTCCAACCTCAGGGGGTTGGTGGTTTTGCTCTCGCACTGGATTAACCCCGCACCTATCTATTGCTGTTTTTAATGCAACTACTGAATTTTGTGTAATTGTGACAGTTCTTCCTCGTGTCCTGTATCACACTGAGAACAATATACTCCAACATTGGGAACCTGACTCTGTCCTGAGGTATAAGAGAGAGCCCATAACTGTCCTGACCATAGCTGCCCTGTTAGGTCTGGGAATGGCAGGCACAAGAACAGGGGTTGCATCCTTAATCACCCAGACCAGAGAGATCAACTCCTTACGGACAGCAATTGATGAAGACCTGGAGTGCATAGAACGATCCATTAGCCATTTAGAGAAATCCCTCACCTCCTTATCCGAGGTGGTCCTACAGAATCGTAGGGGGTTGGACCTAGTATTCCTAAGGCAAGGCGGTCTTTGCATTGCCCTGGGAGAAGAGTGTTGCTTCTATGCAGACCACACTGGGGTAGTGAGGGACTCCATGGCTGAGCTCCGTGAAGGCCTAGCCCAGAGGAAAAAGGAACGAGAATCCCAGCAAGGGTGGTTTGAGTCATGGTTCAACAAGAGCCCGTGGCTAACTACAGTATTGTCCTCCTTAGCAGGGACTCTAGTCATCCTGCTTCTGTTAGTTACCATTGGGTCCTGTATCCTGAACAGACTAATAAAATTTGTAAGAGACCGTATCAGTAATGTCCAGTTGCTGGTCCTCCGACAGCAGTT